AAAACCCAATTTTGCGGTTTCAAAATCTAGACAATAGTCCAGAGATGACTGCATGAATTTGCATAAAAACAGTGGTTCAAACCTCTCGTTCACACTATTCAAACGATTGTTTATATTTAGAATTGACGGAGTTATCTTTACGTTAATTTGTCAAGACCAGATAGTTGTCTCTAAAACATATCAATTTATTTGTGGGCAAACAATTCTTTCAGGAGTGCGGCGACGCTAAATCCGAAAAAACAAATGCAGCGAACACCATGAATATTTATTCCGATTTGCTGCCCATGGGTTTACTACTGTAAGCGTTTATTCAAGACAAAGTTTATTCAACTGCAGATGAGGCTGCCTATAAAAAACGAACGCTGACCTCTGGAAATACCTTATTCATAGTGTCGTGTACCGAGGACCGTCGCTTATGGCGACATGATGCACAATCCTCAAAGAACTGTACTTTGACGTACTTTCTCAAATAATTGTTTATTTTTGTTTTTAATTAACCGGGGATTCGAAATGTGTGCGCTTTGTCACCAAAAAGTAAGATATAACTTATCCATATTTTTAGCTCCGCTGTCGACTTTGTCGAGCGGAGCTTATCATATGAGTGATTGTCCGTTGTCGACGTCCGTGTCAATGTTTTACTTTTTCGACTTCTTCTTGAAAACTACAAGCCTGAATGCTTTGATACTTCGTGTACCTTGGGACCTCTTTCAGATTTGTTCATTTCATGATCATATCTTCAATTCTCTAATTTTGGTGAATATTTTTGTCATTTTTGGTAAAAAATGATATTTTTGACTTCTTGTTAAAAACCGCAAGTCCAATTGCTTTGATATTACATATATAGGTACTACATGAGTACCTCTCTCAGATTTGTTCATTTTGTGATGATGTCTTCAATTCTCTAATTTTGGTGAATATTTTTGTCATTTTTGGTAAAAAGTGATATTTTCGACTTCTTGTTAAAAACTGAAAATCCGATTGCTTTGATACTATACATATTGTTCATTTTCTAATGATGTCTTCAGTTCTTTAATTGAAATGTGCATTGCTAACAGCCGAGCTATCTCAGCCCATAGGCTGCTTGTTATTACATTTTCGTCATCCTCGTGACATGAAATGTAACATACATGTATGTGAAAATAAAGAAAATGACATAAAGATTATTTTCATTATTGAGTAGCATTCAACCTTGACCTTGACTAATGCTCTGTGTGTTTTTGGAATTATCAATATGAGAGGAAAAACAACTGGTGTGATATGTATGGGACTTGTATTGAACATGAGGCACCATGATAACCACTGTCACTGTCACTTGATTTTCTCAGGTACTTATATTGGTGCGATTACGGCCAACAGCCGAAGATTGAAAGAAGTAATTTAGATGGTAGCAATAGATTAGTCCTGGTCCAGAATGAAAATACAGTGTACCCACGTGATATCTGTGTTGATTACCAAACCCACAAAGTCTACTGGGTGGACACAGACTCAGAGCAAATTCAGGTACAGTTAGAGGGCACTGTTCAGTTTAGGTGTGCCAGCCATGTTGTGATCATAAAAAACAGTATTTGGTCGTCATGCAAAGAATTCCTTTGCACTTTTCAAAAACTTAAGTTAAGACTCCTGAACAGTGTAACAAGATTACCAAATTGCCGATTGAACTTTCAAGTCATAAATATATTTCATGAGCCATACACTTCCATGCTGCCTTACAACATGAAATCTTTCTCAAATATATTTTTCTGCATGAAAACATCCCAGCAACACAAATACACTAAAATTACTCCAAAAATATTTCAATGGCGTCAAATACACCATTAAAACTGTGCCGAAACTTTCCGATATGACATTTCCAGGGTGATCCACTATGTTGTTTCTGTGCTAACTACTCCCTCACCTGTGTGTGCTCCCTCTATTTCATTTTTTCAAAAAAAAAACCCTGCGTTTTCACCAGCTTATTACCCAGTGTCTCTTCTGTAATTTATTCAAAATGGTTGTATTCACAAGAACTCTGTCAATATCTCATTTTACTCAGTTTGAGTGTGGGTTCAAAATTACTATTTGTTATTTTGATATTCATTGCCAAGAAAATAGACACCTAAAAAGGTGGACTAAAAAAATAGTTCTGTCCTACTGTTGCCATGACAACGGCCAAAAATATTTTGAGTCGGCCGGCTTTTGCATGTGTGTTTGTCTCTAATAGTTAATATATAGTCGACATCTCCTGTTTTCGTCTGATTATTCTGAATTATTAATCTGTATTTAAATATTCTGACCATGTCTGTTTTTTTTTTAGAGAGTCTCTTGGGATGGTACTAACATAGAAACTGTTCGCTCTGATCTTCCGAATCCATATGGCCTAGCTATCTTCAAAGATGAAGTCTTCTGGGTTGACAGAAGCCTAAAAAATGTCTACAAAGCGAGTAAAGAGCCTGGCGACGTGAATTATCCAACTTTCATCAAGACTGGAATAGAGTCCCTTCGAGATGTTGCGATATTTGACGATGAGATACAGCCAATAGGTAAGTTTTATTGTATAGCAAAGGTTGAAACTGATGATTTTGTGGTTGTCATAGTCACAACCACTTTTGTCATAAAAACTCATTGCATGAAAACAAATTTAAATACTGAGTACTATGACAGAACCCCACACCCTCCATGTGGCTTTTGTTGTATATGGAAGTTATTTTTATGAGTGATGCTGTGTACCCTACGGCCGTACTTTAATTAGCGAAGCGAGTGAACATACAGCAGGATACACCACATCTCAACATATGCAATAATGTAACACTTTTTTTTAGCTGCAATTAATTTTCGCTGAAAACACTTTTTAAT